CCCAGCCTTTTACTTTCTGTTCTTGAGGAAATCTATGCTTTCTTGAAGCCTTCATGCTTGCACTTGATACTACCTCCTCCAGTGGTTGCTGGTGTTAGTGCCAGGACCAGAAAGGAAAATAGTACTCAACCTTAGAGCATGTGCCACTAAATAATGCAGAGGCTCTGTTTTGCTCCCTCGCCTGCCTTATTACAACCCAATATTTTCTCTCCTGTTTTTATTACTGTAGGGTCCTGGCCAACGATGAGCCAGTTTCCCAGTAGAGCTGCAAGATCAGCTAGGATAGCGTGAGCGAGGATTTATTAAACTAAAGCCAATTACAAATCTATTGACAAAACATTTTGCCACTGATCATGCTGATTTGCCAAAACAGCTACTTTCCAAGCATCATGGGAGCGGGGAGAGATTCCCCACAGCCTCCACTGCCCCACGAGGCTGGTAGTTTGGGAGGTTCACCTCCGGGGCTGGAGACCCAGGCCCCAGGCCCTGTCCCTCATGGTTCAGATTTAAGACTTGCAGCCTTAAATCAGCTGCAAGTTTGGGTTACATCCCAGGCAAAATGAAAAACGCCTGACATCTGTATGGGAGCAGGGGCTCTGCCTGCCCCTAGTCTCATCTGAACTCCTCAGCACCTCACCAGCGAATGCATGGAGGCGGCACCTCTTCACCCCCATGGCTTCGGAGAGCTGCTGGCACGAGGAAGGACCTTCCCTGGCCACCAGTGAAACAGCAGGAGCTTGGGAGAGGGTGAAGAGGGGCAGGAGCAGGCAGGGCTGGGTGGGACAGAGAAAAGGACAGCAGTGGAGGAGAAGGAGAGAGGTAAGAGGAAGGAAGCCAAGAGGCAGTACCAGGAGGAGAAAGGGAGGCAGCCTAAGAGCTCCTGGTCCCAGAGTCTCCAGCAGCACCTGGATCATTTCCCTGCACGATCCCATCTAATTTTCGCCCCATGCAGGCGAAGCAGCAGCTGTCGCCCGATTACCTTGGAGCAAGCTGAAAATGTAGTGGGACTTGCCCTTTTATTCTTGCTCCCGGCTCCACGTGAGGTTTGCAATCAGCTGTTAATGGCTCTCCCCTCACATAATTCATTTCTCTCCCCTGTTATTGTGATTACACGGAGCGTTGCATTTGTCCTGCCCTCCTTGAGTCAGCACTTGGGTAGCTCGGCTACAGCAAAGGCTCTTCGTGCACAGCGAGCGGGAGAAACGCCTGTAAAGCATATTCAGGAATATCTCAAAGTCTCTGCTGCCTATCCCCTGCAACGTTTCCAACACGGTATTAAATCATTCGTCACGAGGAGGAGGCTTTATGCACACAAATGGCAGAGCTGGGATGGGGTTTTATATCGAGCAGACAGACAGGGAACCTGCTGTCAGCCACCCCATCACTGCAAAGTCTGCAGTGCAAAGACACCGACGGCAGGATAGACTGCACCATGGAAAGGAGGGGACAGAAATGCAAGCGTGGACTTTAAACAAACAACCCAAACCCATAACATGTTTCTGCTCAGGACAGGCTGCTCCCTCCCCACATGGGCTGTCAGATGTGACAGAGCACGCTGGGGATCATGAGGGATTTTAGGCTTTTTTTGGGGGGTGGGTCATCCAGCAGTGTGAAGCTGCTGGTGAGGGATAAGGAGCATCATGTAAAACAGATTTCTGAGGATTTGGGATTGCTTTACAATGAGAAAGCCTTCCTCAGAGGTGTTAGAAAGGTCCAGCAGAGCACCCCGACCTGGTTTGGTAGAGACACGAGTTATTATCCACCCACACCCGGGGAGTGCAACTGCAGCACCTGTTGAAGAGGCTTTATTTGCCCACATCAACTGTTCTGAGCAATATTTGTTTGCATATGAAGATTAACAATTGATTCAGCTGTTCGTTGAGACAGCAAGGCCATGGCCGTTCATATCTTAAAATAGGAGACTGAAGTCCCCCCAAGTATTATGTGCTTGCCTGTTTCTCAGGGACACTTGCCTACACAGCCTGCCTTAACCTGGCACAGCTGCGGAGGCTGCCGGCTGTGCAGCTCAGCACCTGGTCCCAGGCGTGCTGAGTGCCCTGGAGCAGCAGCTCCCAACTCTGGAAGGAGCCCAAAGAAAGAGATTTGGGTTTTAGCACCTTCTCTGCAGACTGCACCTGGGACAGAGACAAGGGGACAAGGCAATGATG